GCAAAGCAAAAAAATAATAAAGAACAGAAGTGCCGCAAGATAATCTCTTGTAATTTCGAGATAAAAAAAAGAGAGAAATGCTAATAAAAATTAATGAAAAAAGAAGTATATATACATATATACATATTATATACAGACATCATTTACAGGTTTATTAAACAAGAAAATCGTGGTAGATACGAGAATTTTTTACCATTTTGTTGACATTTTGTTAATAGTCAAAAGAACATTTATGTATAATTACAAAAATTTAAAAATACAAAGTATGCAGAATACTTTTACATATAATATTTAACATCATTTTAATTTTGGGGTTTTCAATATTAAACTTAAGTAATATCAAATTCCGTCAGTGACAACATTTTGCTTTCACAGTAAATACAATTTAATGATTATAAAATAAATTCTACAATTAAATTCCAATTACATTATAGTCATTGAATTATTCTGCAATAATTTCGTTGAAGTAAGGCTCTTTGTCATTAACATTGATTTAATATTAAATTTAATTAAAAAAATACCATTATCAAATGTGATTTTTTTTTTGTGCTTTAAATTCACAACGCGGTATATAGTGCCTTTAAAGTTAATTAAAACTTGTATACAATATTATGCATTAAGGACTCGTGAATATTTATAAATTAAATATAATTTTATATAGAGTTATTTTACAAAGCACCAAGTAATATACACACATACTATAATGGAAGAATTTCTTTAATTATAATAAATATTTGTTACGAATCAATTTGATTACTTAATACTTAAATACTTATTACGGAGTTAATAACTGTTTTCAATTTAAATGCGTAAGTATTAGTTTTCATCATTTCAACTCTTAAAAGGCACATAACAATTATTATAATTTACAACAAATAAGAATTACAAATTGTAACAGAATTTTAAAATCGCTTTTCTTCCAAGTGTTGTGCTCCTTAATGCATCTTTTAATAATCTAAAAACTTACGAAACACTGAAACATTTGAAGGTGTGTATATTTAAACGATAAAAAATTCTCATAACTCTTTTGTTTTATAAACGAAAGTTTGAAGTTTTAAGTTAATTTATTTTTGGAATATAATATTTCAATTCATACTACACTTGTGCTACTTATATACTTGATTTTATTGGGCATTCTTCACCAGATACTTATTATGTATTTCTCAAACTAAAAATATGTCTTGAGTTTAACATTGTTAATGTTGTCTTGAATTTTAATTTTTAAAAATAAGACACTCTCTAACATCTCACTACTAATTATAACTAAACCAAATTAATTTGAATTATAATTGATATATAATGTGACCAGCATAAAATATCGTACTACTTATTTGGTTTTTCGAGTATTTTTACAATATTATAGATGCATGTTTGGAATTCAATATTTTAAGTTTAAATAAATGATAATAGTATACAATCTAGCTTTCATTTAGCTTTTGTCTTTAAACAAAATTTTTAAAATAATATTAAAATAAGTAGTGTTTTTGTGACATAAATACTCAAATGATTTGAAAATGATTATATAAAAATTTATAATCAAAAGCTTTATTGTATTTAAATATTTGTTCTAATGAAAATCTACATTGTTATGTGGAAGCTCTTTTGTTACTTGGTCATCAATGAATGAATGATCATCAATGTATGAAATATCATACTTATTGACTATCATTCAAGTTGTCAGCTACATTTAGTTCTCATAATAAATTCTTTTCGTACATAAAAGCACAGAACTATAGTGCAGGTACTATAATGGTTGCAAATTTAATGATGCTAACGCAAAAGAATGTGAAGATGAAGAATTCATAAGACACCTATTTAGGGTCGAAATCGAGTTAAATACATATAATAATGTAAAAATTATTTCAAGCAATTCATAGCACATGGATGAATTACTTGAAAATTTCTTCAAAGCTTTCACTGTTCCTGCAATAATAATAATAGTATAATAAATTTCGTTGATTTTGGGAAATTCTGTTACTATTGCTTACATAACAAGAACATTTGAGAACATATTGGTAAAAAATTAAAAGTACTTAGATAGATTTATGCATATACGCATCTATACTTTGTATGATCTTCGTTTGTAGTTTTCCAAACCACTATAGTTTATAATTCAATGCCACAAAAAATTTAACGGAGCAAATATAAAAATGTGTGTAAGTAACTATATGTGTAGTTAGCATAATGCTCATACATAACGTTGGCGAATAATTGAAATTCTTTGAATTCAAAAGCATTTTTTAAATATTCTTTAAAAAAAAAACATGTAAATGAAAAACTTTCAATTAATTTAAAAATAAAATAAAAAAATGAAAACAATTTACAATTCTCATTAACAGTTTTTATTATTGCATGTCAAAAGTAAATATTTAACATAATTAAATTATAACAGAAATTGTGAAAATTTATATTATAATTAAATAAGCAAATAACCTGATTAATATTTAATTTTTACCAACCAATAAATTGCATGTTTATATACACTTGTGTATGTGTTTCGCGAACTACGCAAATATACACATACTTAACAAACATACAAAAAAAAAAACAAAAATTTATTTTGTTTAATAAAAAATTTATTTTTTGACTCCATAGAAGAGCCTTTGAAAGAAAGACTGAAATCAATATGAAAATTAATGGTTTTAAAACAAACACAAAAATTTTTTCTTTTCAAAAATTAAATTGACAAAAAAAATTTTCTTGAATTTTCAAAAAAAAATTTTAAATTCGTTTAACAAAATGTTGTCTTCCAAATATCTATTAACTTCAGAAATTTTAAAGGAAAATTTAACTGAAAATGTTTTCAAATTATTTTTTACTGAAATTAAAAATCACGTAATATTTCACGGCAAAAAAAACAGTTTATTAACTATTATTACTCGTATTACTTATATAAATTGAAGAAATGATTTAGTTTTTTCGAATGTATTCGTTACTATGTACAAAAGGTGTTAATGGATATACTTAAGTAGCTAATAAAAGAATAAGATGTTTTTTAAGATAACAATACAAGCTAATGAATTTAAAATTTTATTTTTGACAGTATAAATATTTATGTCCGATCAAGGAAATTTTTACACTCCAATCCGTATAATTTCGTATAATTTTTTTATAGTCAGATGATTAATGAAAAAATAAAGTAACTTTCCTATCTACATGCAATCATTGGCTATTTCCCAAAATGTTTATTAGTATCACTTTGCCGTTTGTCCGTATGTCATTTTACAAAACTTCTCCATCCTTTGAGATAAAAACCTGAAATTTTTCACTGCAGAATAATTTTTTTATCTACCTCCCTTTCTCTTAGACTTATAACCCCTTAAAGTCAATTGTTTTTTTCTATTTATTATAACGAAACCACAATTATTTTTAAATTCCACAAACGCTAAAATTTTTTTTCAAATTTTCGATATCGTTTTCCTTCTAGATGGCAAGTTGTAGAAGTCTGAAATATAGTCAGCTTCTTTCAATTTTTTTCTTTTGTTCATCCTAAATTTATGCAATAAATCAATATAGTTTAGTATGTGAACAAAATTAATTTAAATAATATCGTAAATTCTTTTAAAAGAAGTATTTTCACTTGTTCAAGAGAAAAGTACTTCAATAAGTCAAAATTTGACCGTTTGAATACAATACATAGCAACGGGGAACGAATAATTGCTAGACATGGTATAAAATATGGAATTATAGGTCCACTTTGGAATATACAAGGTACCCATCCTAATTGGACGTAAGACCGGTTCAGTATGTTTCTCGGAATTTATTTAGAATTATTATAGAAATATTACTTTTCGAATTAAAAGGTACAAATATTTATACGGAATAAATTAATCAATAGAATTTACTAGAATTTGTATCCATGATTAATTCCATTCAAAAATGTTTTACTTAAAAATACCAAACCAATTCAAATACTGATCATTACTTTGAATAGTTCATGTACTTTAAAATTTTGTAAAACTTGATTAAACATTGAAAACTTGGTTTTGCAGAATTACAATTTCATCTTCTAATAAGATGACAGAGTTTTTCTGAGTTTCCTTTAAATGTTTCAACGAATTCGTAATTTAGTTTTTGTACATAGTTTACGTATACACGTTACATGTATGTAGTAACAAAATGAAATTATTTCTGAAATTAATTAACACAAAAAACAAAACAATCATTCAAATTATTTACAAAAATAATTCAACAAGTACAAAAAAAAAGTAAAATTTTAAAAAGTAAAAATAAAACATAATTAATAAGTAAATCGTTGACAATCGTGAATGAATTTTAAATATTTTTTATAAAAAACGAAACGTTTAAAAAAAAATATTATAATTTACATACATGCATTATGAGCAGTGTTCATGCGTTACTATATAGTTATGAAAATGTGTGTACTGTTAGTTTACATGACTTTTTGATTATGTCAAAATATTTCACTTTCTTTTTCAAAATTTGAAAAAATATATTTGGATACACACATAAATACACGCAGAATATCAAATAAAAGTTTCTTAATACTTTATTTTATCATAATAAAATACTTTATGTTCGACATTGTATGTTGGCAGAAAGTTTGTAACACTAAATAAGGGATTAGAAATGATTAGGTTCAACTACCTTAAAAATTACAGTGACCATTGCTGATATTTAATTTACATATATGTATGTGCATATCATATTAATATATGTATATCAATTAATATAAAATTTGCTTTATACTGCACTATATAAAAATATTATATATTTATATATGTATTATTGTACATGGATTAAGCTTTTGAACATGACATATTACAATCCGATTTCTCTTTTGCACTAATACACAAAAAATTCAAAATATTATTTACTAAAAACTAGAGAATTGCGTTAATAAACACGCAACTTAAATACAACTTTAATAAAATTTCTTTAATACAACTAAAATTCTTTTATACACTTTCGTATTTGAAAATATATCTTTTAACACTAACACATTTACATTATATGAAAATTTTAAGATATAAGCTCACCAGTTTTTTTATTTTCTTTTTTTGTGTTACTTTTATTAAAAATTTTTTAAATACTTTTTAAATTTATTGTAAAAACAATTCATTTAATATTATTTTATAAATAATTAGAGTTGTTTAAATTTCAAGTAAGTTATCCAAATAATTTTCCAATATTCTTCTTTAACATGTTTGTTATGTTCAAATAATAATTATCCACTTTATATGTATTTGTGGTAATATTAACCACCATATATTTTGATTTAGAAAATCACAAACACACAAATATTATTAGCCCATTTTTCACATATACATATATAAACTGATTTGTGAGTATAGGTACTCATTTCTGTACACAGATTTTTTTCTAAAATTATTTTAACAAAATTTAATATTTTAAATTTATATTCATTTAATTAAATATGAAAATTAAAACTAAAATTTAATAAAATTTTACACATTTTATTCAATTAACAAAACATTTTTGTACGGATAAACGAGACATCGAAAAAATTCCGAACACGGAACTAAAAAAAAAAATTTTAATTTTTTACAAGTATTCCCCCCGAAAATCGAATTATTTTTATAATTTTTTTTTTTTAATTGCGTCTTAAGCGAAAATCACATCAACCGCTTTATTTGAAAAACTTACAAAAACTAAACTCTAAAAAAAATTCATGATCATTTTCTAGTGTAATGTTCAAAAAATGTGAGTTGCCGAGTTATAACGACTAATATCTACTTTGATTTACATTATTTACTTTAAAAATTACCAATTACCCAAAAGAATTTTGATGTTGTCATTTTCAAATTATATTACAAGATATTTGAAAAATATTAATAATTATCAATTAACTGAATTTCTTTAGTTTTCAAATTAAAAACTTAATGAAATAATAGATAAATTTTTAATTATAACAGAAAAAATATTTAAATCCAAACAATTTAAATCATATAAATCTACTGCAAACGCCTTTACTAGTAAGGCAATATACACGAAAAAAAATAATATTTACTCCAAATTTTATCTTCTCTTTGGAAAAATAAGAGACAACACAAATAACAGTAAAAAATATCAATGAGTATTAATACGAGATCGTGAATTAACATATGTATGATTGTATTTTCTTACTAGTAACCTGTTTCAAGCTAGTGGTAGTAGTGAATTATACAAGAGAATGAAAACAAAAGATTTGAATGCGAGCTAAAAATTATGAGAAGTTAAAACTCTTCTTATTTTGAAAAGTAAGTACCTATAGCTTTTGGATGATGATTGCGGATTTTCATGTTTATGTGCTATGATATGACAATGTTCAAGTAACATTTTTTAATATTTGATTAATTTATACTTCACATTTTTTACTTTTTTTTTATTTTGATATGAAGAGAGCAAGACAGTTCACATTAATTCGAGATTTACAATTTATTGCATTAACATGGGAAAAATATATTATTTTAAATATGAATGCATGAATGTTTGTAAGCAAGTAGTGAGTGTAAGCATATTTTTATTGTTTTAATTGTTTTTACCATTATTGTTATTGTTATGAACCGGAAAATTATGCCAAACAATTAATTAAAAACTTTTCAACAATGTGGTGAAGCAATCATATAGTAAAACTAGGAAAAAACATAGTAGTTCACCTTCATTTCATTTTATTTTTTATATAAAAAATAAAGTATGTACATATTTGTAAAAAATGAAATTTCGCTGAAATATAGAATTTTAACATGATGTAAAAATTAATTTTTAAATTTTAGCTATTATTTTATAATACATAATATCAAAAATAAAGCTGTTATTCATAGTAAAATTCTAAAATTATAGTTATTATTTATTTAGCCCATTTTTATAATTAAAACTAAGATATTCATATAATATCTTTAAGTTTTCGAATATTTTTGAATCCACAGTCACACGAGAAAGTCCTACTCTTATAACATTATTTATTATAATATGTGTAGTAGAAACTTTAAGCGGTAAAATGTAAGTCATATTGTAAGCGATAAGATTGTTTTCATTCTTGTGAAAAAATTTCAGAAAAAGTGTGGCAGGCATTTAAATCGGCATAAAAATAAATGAAGATTTATTAAATATTTGCTAACTATTACACATCCTTTATTACTTGAAAAATTTTCTGGTATAACGGCACAGCAATTACAGTACATTTCACCTGTTAGTTACTACTTAAATCTTCAAAAGCTTGTATATATTTTACAATGAAACTTAATGATTACTTGTTATACCTACTATAATACTGTAAATTAATTATAAAATTTTATTTCAGTAGTGATAAACTAAACTATTTTAGACCCAATTTCCAACATACATAACTGATCAACTATTTTATATCAGCAACCAACTTGTTGACTTACAACGACACTAAATAACCTTGTATAAAGATATAAATTTGTGCAGACATGCATACTTTACTAATTATTCGAATTAACTCACAACATAACAATATTTCTTGGAAATATGGAAATTACATTCATTTTTTATTAAATCAAATAAAAAATGACCCCTCTTAGCAATTGGAACTCAAAAAAAAACTTTCTTCTTTTTAAAATTTATTTGGTTACGTAACTTACTCAAAATTTTTTAAATAAACTTGTGTATACCTTCCACCTCTTCCGAAGATAAATAAAATAATATAACAAAATGCAACAACATTTTTGGATACACAATTGATATACTCGTACACACACATAGCGTTCGACTACACCCGTCATTTTGAATGTTATACAATACTTAATTTGAATTTTCCAAATGAATCATAAAAAAACAAAATAAAAATTTTAAACGCGGAATTCATAAAGAAATTAAAAGCAAAATAAAAACTTTTATCAACAAACATACACACACCGTACATACAGTATAAAAAAAAAAACATCTTTAATCCGGGATTGAAGCAAATATTGAACCTGCACAATAATAACAACAATATTGTTGTTGCAACTAACAACCTTCTTTGCAAGGTCATTCGAAGAGTTAAAAAAAAAAATTTGAAAAAAGAAAAATTTTTTTTTATCTTTCTTTTAATAAATATTTTAAAATTTTCAGTCACTTTTTTCCTTCAATGAAAGCAACTGCTGTTATAATCTTATAACTTTCTTAATTGCTGAATATGAACATACTATTTTCATATTTATAATTTTAGTGGCACAATAGTGGTTTGTGTTTTCACTAAAAATATCATGTTATAGAAAAACTTTAGATGATCGTTTAATAGCTTTCCCTTTGACTTCAAGCTTTATGTTGATATTTTTCTTTTTGACTAAAAGCTCTCATGCATTTTTAGTTTTAGAAAATCTTGTAAATGAGTTTACTAAAATAATATAAAAGCTTATTTATATTAAATGCAAATCTAATTACTTGGAATTTGGAAAATATGGATTGATATTGCAAAATATTAGATACTACTCTGTCAGCTAATTATAACATATAGTGCAAACATGAGTTCAAAAACTTAATGAACTAAAATTCTTCTTAAGTAACCTATTTTAAGTTCATTCAGTCATTATTTATCATTCTAAATATAAAAATAACTATTACAATTAAAATAAGCATTTACACTTTTACAATTTCACCAATGTCTTTTGTTCGGATAAACTTCATAATAGGATCAACGAACTGCATACATAATATCAAAATAAAACTGTTATTCAAAGTAAAATTCTAAAATTGTAATTTGAGTAAGCAGTTTGCAAAACCTTGGAAACAGATATGTATTATTCAACAAATTGCAATTACAATGAATTATATTTTTTTAATTATTGCTGGACGAAAGAAAATATGAGATCAATTAAATCTAAGTGATCTAAGTGGACCAATCATAACAATAAAGTAAACACGCTTGAAGTAACTGAAATCGGTTTCACAATGTTGTTGGATAATCATATACTATAGATTAACTAGTTCACTTAAAAAATTTTCTCTATAAATTCCCTCAAAATAAAAAAAATTCCACCTGCGATTTAGTTTCTTGAAAGTAATTTTGATTCTTACTTTTCTTTTTCTTGACTTGAGAGTACATAAACCTAACAAGTATAATAGACTGCTTCTTGAACACTTTTCACAACACTAAAAAAACTCATAGATTTCGTAAAATTTTTTATAAATTTCAAAACATAATTTAATAATATAATTTTAGCAACTTAAAAACATATGTGTATAAAACAACTTAATAACATATTCATGATAATACTCGGTTGCAATAGAAAATTCAATTTTCTATCGGATTTCACAAAACAAAAGAGAAAAAAATATACCAACAAAAATTAATGTGAAACGTCCCTGATTTCTCAGCTGATTTTGTTTATAATTTCCATTACTCCATAATGTAACATAAGTAAACAATCAAAAAGCTCTTATTTGACTTGTAAACGAAATCAATTTTGATTATACATTGCCCATGGGTTATTACGTACACATACACATGTACAAACATCTGTTGAGCGAATTAACCATAAAATATATTATGATTCACAAATCCCACACAATACTTTCGAATTACAAAAAAAAATTTATGTATAATTCTTATATCTATACATAATTTTTTTTATCAACGTATGTATTTACAGTAAACTCTTTATATTTCAGTACTATCCAACTAGGAAAATTGAAATACATTGAAAAGCTTAAAAGTTTAACAAAATTAGAAATTACACTGTGTACTTATTACGGCATTGTAAGTGCAGTATAGCATTTATCGGTTTGAAACTTATGAAGAACATTATTTTAATGCAGAAGATTGTTATTTTATGTAGCAAATCCTAAAATTATAAAATATTAAAATAATTTCTTAAAACATGAATGATAAATTTTCCAAAAAAAAATATAATAAAAATATTAAAATAAGTTCTCGAAATTTTAATAAAATTAGAAAATTAGAAATATAAGATTATTTAGAATTACTTCACTGTATACACGTTCAAAATGAAAATTTTTAAAGCTCTTAAATAAAATAAAATAAGATAGAAAATATTTTACATTAAAACAAAATCTAAAGTTAAATTCTAATAAGAGAATTTAGTTGAATGACACGATATATTTTTTATTTTAATGGTGAGCGAGAAAGACAAAGACTCAGAGAACACAATTTATAAAATTGGAAAAAGAAAAAGATTGAAAGAAACAGTGCGAATGCGCATACCGTGATCAAAACAAATCAAAATGGTAAATTCGCGGTTATAAACGAACAATGTGGAAAACAAAAATATTGAATTTATTTACAAATAAACTGAAATATTAAATACAAATAAACAGAATAATGAATATTTTTTATATTTAAAATTGATTTTTAAAAATTTTATTATAAAATTTTACAAATGAAATTTGTGATTCATAAATTTTATAGAAATTGTGATCTATTTTTTTTTATTATATTTTTAATTCATAATTATTTAGAGGAAAGAAAAATTCATAGTAAAAAAGCTTTTACATTATAGTTTTGTTATTGTGTAGTTAAGTGTTAAGTGTAAATTTGTATACAAAATTATTCTAATAGATAAAAAGGCAAGAGATAGACAGATCGCGTTTTAATTGATTACCTTCTATACGATTTGTTTACCTAAAATCAAGTATTAATTTATTACAATTGTGCCTTTTTATGATGGTGTCAGTCATTCTTCTCAATTCAAAAATAAAAAAATTATCTTATTTAATTTTGATCAATCTTATGTAAATGATGAACGTGCAATCTACAAAATAATACAGATTGTGGTATAAAAAATGTATAAATTATTTTCAATGACATAAAATGATTTAGATCATATTTCTAGAACTAAATGATTGCTAATAAACATTATAGAGCAATGCTAATAAACATTATAGGTAATACTTCAGACTTAAATGCATTAAATAACATAAATTCACTCAGTATAATTCATTGTTAAATCGTTTGTAAAGTTGTAGTGGTGTCGTTGAATCAAAAAAATTAATTAATATGTGTAAATGACATTCAAGGTAGATTACCTCAAAATTTAAATATTTTTATATTGGTATGGATGTGTGTTAACATCTACATTGTATAAATAACATACATATGAAATTTTCATGGAATCATTTAATATTCATTTTTGTTCTACAATACAATATTAGACAATGAGTGGTCAAATTTCAATTAGTCATAGGTTCACATATTAGTATAAGGTAACTTGATTTAACGGGTTTTTAAATTTAAGCACAATTATAGTTACATAAATGTGTGTATATGAATATAAAAAAGTGGTTTTTCATAAAACTTTATAAACTGGTTATATAGAAAAATTTGCATACATAAATCAGTAGTGATTAAAATTTATTGACATTTCGAGATTACGTACTTATTCTCAGAAAGGATATTAAATATTGACATCAATCGCATTAACAAAAAGCCTCATTGTTAAGAATTGTCTTCTATCCATAAGTAATTAATTGCATGCCTGTATTAAAAATTTAAATGAATCTGGACATAATATAACTCAAAACGAATGTAGTGCAGGTCGGTTCAAACACTGAAATTATACGATAATAATATACAATCGTAAGTTTATAGAAATACTCGAATTAATTTTTGACCTCTATCATGTAATTTTTTTATTTTAAAATATATTAACCTTAAAGTCAATCTTAATATTTATTGTATATGTACATAACTCTATATAAAAGAATATGTTATACCCATTATAAATATTTTGCAAATTATTTGTAATGATATCTAAAATGATCACTTCCTTTCTTCTCTCTCATTGTAAAAAAGACCTTATAAATTATAAATTATGTTATAAAAATAATCTTAAGTATAATGTTAAAATAGTTGCAGAGAATACTAATTTTATATTCTAATAACTCGTTTAGTCGATAGAAATGCTCAAAATTATTAGTTTATTCAAATATCATATTAATCTTTAAGAAGAACAAATACTGATAATTCAGGTACATGAAAATATTCATATTATGTTGTATAAAATGTAATCATAAATTATGTCTGTTACATACAACATGCTTATATCATCACATAACATTATAATTAAAATTGACATACTTATAGTTTAAATTAAATTGTTAAGTAGATTATATTATGTGTAGATTTAATAAAGGTTCTTCTAAATTGAAAATCATAATTCTGTTATTCTACTTACTTCAATAATTAAAACATGTTATTGTACTTATAATTTTGTAGAACATACACGCAAAAATTTAAATTTCATAAAAACTATAATAAAAGCATTTGTATTGTAAGTATAAATATTATAGAGCATAATTATTTTTTACATCTTGTGCTTAAGAATCTGTATTGTTGCTATTAATTAGATAAATTCAAAATGAAGAAAAAAAAAATTAATATTTTTTATAGAATATTTCCGCTAATCTTATACACCAAACCAAATAGAAGGAAATAATAATAAATAAAACTTACTTGACCTTATTTTAATATACAATTGTATGCATATGTATGGTACATAAACTTTTGCAATTACTATTCAATAAAATATGTACTTAACGTCAGTATCGAATTTTTTTTCTTTACTTTACAATTGGTTAGGAAATCAGTGAAATAAAACTTAATAATTAAAAATTTTAATTTGAAAAAACATTATGTCAAATATAAATTTCTGTCATAATAAAATTTAAATTTAATTTTCTAATTGAATGTTTTAAAATAATTTTAATGTTAAAATTATGAAAAACAATAACAAAATAAGAGCATGATTTAGCTTAATCACCCGTGTTTTTGATAAGAAGAAATTTTTGAGAAAATAATTCAATTAATATTTTAAAAAAGTCTTTGCAGAACTGTTGATTTTTAGAGATACTTGATAAATTTTTTTGTAGTTTTAATCCATTTGCAAAATATTTTTTTCCATTTAATTCCTCACAAAGAATTGATTATTTAAACTCCATGTTGAATTTATGCCAAAACACCACACTATCCAAACCACAATATTATGGTTTTTCTTGAATTCGATGCAGCTTGCTCTAATAAATTGCTGAATTTAAATTAAACTTATACATATGTATGTATTTATGTATGAATCTATTTCCGAATTGATTTTATAATTCGTCTAACTGAATTTTCAATTCAAGTAATATAAAATATTGAATTTCCAACAATGTTGTTAGCTCTATAAACAGCTATTACGAATTTCATTAAAATATGATTATGAAAAAATTTTTAAAACTATTTTACAATTTTATAATTTCGATTACTATTGGCCTACATTGTTTAATGAGAAAACTTATTTTGTCTACAAATCTCTTTAATATTTTGCTTAAAAACTATTTTCTTTCATATTTAAACTCATTTTTGTTCTTACAAAAAAAAATTGCAGTTGCAAGGTAGCAAAACAAATCAATTCAGTGTTTTCGATATTAAATTTTATAATTTCTTAATTTTTTGATATTTCATTTTCATTATTGTTGATTGGTATTTGTTATTTCTTCCTGAAATTATCCATAAATTTCAATTACCTATTACAATTAAATGTTCCATATAATTTTTTGTAATCCAAAATATAGAATATTGTCCTTTAATGCAAAAATCATGTATCTTTTTTAAAAACAAATTTAAAAAATTGCCTTAAGAAATCATAAAATATACTGAAAATCTTTTTCTCTTTTAATTTTAAGCTTTGTTTATTTATTTTCAAAATCGGATTCATAGTATTTTAATTTAAATTTATGTAATTTAAATTTATGTAAGTACTTATTTTGCAGTTATATTTTACATTATGTTTTTATTCTTTATCACTAAATATGGAAAATCACTAAATATGGTTTTATTCTTTATCACTAAACATTAAAAAGTGTACAAAAATACGTTATGATATTCCAAATAGCTAATGAATGCAGGGAAATAGAAAGTACATTTTAAAAATATAAAATTATAAACAAAAAATAAACAATAATGCAATTAAATAACCTTCAAAGGGCTGTTATTTTAACAAACTTTAGACTTATGAAACTTAAACATAATTGCAATTTAAGGAATTCTTTAAATACTTGCATTGTGACTAAAATTTGGTAAATAAGGGAATTTCCAACCCTCATATATTAATATCGGATTTTGGAAACTTGAGAAGAAAGCACTTTCGGTAATTTTGATAGTCTACTAAAATAAGCATAAAAGTTTATACTCATTTTCGTAACTAATTAATTGTTTTAATAACTAATCACCCTTTTCGAAATTATCTAAAATCCAAATATGTCAAATTTTTTTTCAATATTCGGATAATAATTTTAATATTTGACAACTTATAATAAAAATTTGACAACTTTATTATAATTTATGCAAAATTTTTGCATAAACAGTACGTTTTACAATATGGAAGTCATCAAATTTTACGCAGATAAGCACAGTTTTCACGAAATGTTTTCTATATTGCTGGTTGTTTTAAAATCAAATTTCATTGCCTATATTTTAAAAAATTTTAGAACTTAATTCCGGCTAAATTATTGGTCGGAATTTTATGATGTAAAATTTGTACTCTACGAAATCTACATATGAAAAATGGAATTTTGAATTCTCGTACATTACTGAAACTCATTACTGAATTTAAGACTTTTAAAATTATATTACATAATTGCAGTTTACATACTTAATTATACCCATTTTTTCTATTATTTATGCGTTAACTTTTGTATTATGATTTTATTCGGGCCAAAAAGAAAAAGCAATAATTGCCTACATATACACATATAGTTTAAATTAATACATATTAAAATTTTGCAGTAATTATAAAATATTTAAGCTATATCCATACATATATAAATATGTATATGTTGTTGCATGTTATAAGCATGAATAAAATATACCTATTATAAAATTGCATTATTATAAAATTACTTTTAATATTAACTGAAAACTATTTTACGCCATTTGCATTTAAATTAAAGAAATTCATAAATTAACCCGAAATAAAACCTTAATGACAAAACCAATTTATTTTGCAATTTTTATTCATTTCTACCCTAGAATGCAATTTGAAAAAGTTCCTTTGAAAATTACCTACATACTTATTTAGAGTTAAAAATAAATGTTTATGTACTAAGGTCCTTTCTCATTTTATATAACTGTGTATACGATGTTTTTGTTCTCTATAAAGTTCTTGAAATATCCAGAAAATTATTTGTAATCACATACAAAAGCAATATTTAAAAATGCATGCGTATATTTATAGTGCATTAATATTAAAAATAATTTAAAATTTTGTAGTAGTAAAATTTATGGAAATTATTAAAAAATGCAATAAGCTTTTAAATTAAGTATAAAAAATTTATGAAATCTTTGTACATTATAAGAAATCTTATTAAGAAAAATTACCAGTTTCTTTATATAAAGAAAACGATCTTCTTTTATGAAAGCTATCTGATATGATCAATGATAGTTTATGACAATAACTTTCCGCAGTTTAACCAATTAGTATGGCAGGAAATGTGAGTTTTGGTAAAATATTAAGTATTGTAATTAATCTAATTTTTATGTTAATTTAATGATAGATTCATCATTTCTTTATAAAACAAAACAAAAAATTATTTCTTTAATTTCTAAAAAACCATCTCTTTTTAGCACTTTTCCAAAAATTTTTTGAAAAAAAGTGCTTATTAGTTTCACTCTGTCCGTCCGTCCGTCCGTCCGTCCGTCTGTCCGTGTGTCTGTTTACAAAACTTCTACACCCTTGAAGATAGAAAGCTGAAATATGTACATAGATCTTTACTAGAAACTTATATAGATCTTTACTAGAAACTTTTATATGTACATAGATCTTTACTAGAAACTTATTTCTGTAGAACAAAATTTTTACCTATCTCCTCCCCTCTAGAAGTTATACCCCCCCAAAACCCTAAAAATGGCCCTTTTTAACTATTTGTTGCAATGAAACCATAAGCATTTTTGAAATTTTGCAAACGCAGAAAAGCAGCGGCTTGCTTTCCCTGGCGCGGCATACTATATTTGAACTTTAGAAAAACAAAATGGCCGTTCAAATTTACCGTTATCTAAAGTCCTTTTTTTGCAAATTTTTGATGTCGTTTTTTTTCCAAACTACAGCCTGTAGAAGCTTGAAATTTTAGGAGCTTTTAGACATTATCAAATAGTTCATTTCGCTAGAAAAAAATTTTTTTCCATCTCCACCCCCTCTCAAGTTATCGCTTCTTGAAATTTGTAAAATTTGAATTTTTGACACCTTATATTTCCGAAACCGCAAGCTTTTTCAAATTTCTATTAACGCAAAAAGTTAACGGTAAATTCCATGAAATTAAAAAATATAATTATTTTTCTTAACTCACAAAATTAAACCTTAAAATCGAGCATTATGTTAACCCCACTTTATATTAATTTTTGCTTTATTTCAAAGACTGCATAAATCATTCATCCTAAATATATGCAACCCTAGAAATAGTTTTGTATATGAATGAAAATAATTTTAATAGTGTGATAGGTACATAGACTACATAGACTGTATTTAAAAGCAAAATTTTCATATGTTGAAGGGAAAAGTGCTACAATACAAACCATTGGTTTGACCCAACTTTATTATTCCTAAATTTAGGAGATTGTGCAAAATTAAACTTTTTCTTGTGAATCGTAGTTAGTAAGTTTTTCCACTATCATTGTATACAAAATGCGATTGAAGCAATTATTGATCGAGGCATCAAAAAAAAGCAATAAATGAAATCGTAAACGTTGTAAAACAGTACAAATTTACAAACAAGTCTCACATCACATATCTACACTCTGTTTAAAAAAAAAATAATTTTATTCCATATTTTTATATTTTTTTGTGAAATTGTCATTCACAAAAATATAACCAACTTTTTAATAGTTCCTTAAAAAAAATTTAATAACTTTCATTAATCAAAAACAAAATTGATTTTTTTAGGCCAGGATGCGGGAATAAACGCATTCGTGCACAAGAGGCTATCATCGCATCAATAATCCCGAAAAAAATTTTGAGAACTCAAGAAATAAAAAAAAAACATTCAAGTGAAAAATTTTTTTATATTGTTAACTGAGAATTCGTAAAATTATTCTGGCGTAAATTTTTGCATTTGAATTGTTTAAAATTTTCTCAATGTTAAAAAATATTTGTTGGTTTCAATAGTTTATTGGTGTATAATTTATGGATGTATACAAACACAGCAAAATATACATAATGCTTGTATGGCTTAGATTAACTAAACAAAGCAAAAATTAATTCTAATGCTAAAATAGTTTCTACTGATATTATTTTCAACTATTGCTAATTTTTTATATGATATTTCAATTGTTTATGGAAATTATACAGTAACCAAAGTATGGCCTGCTCTTATAGTCCTCTAAAATGGCAATCAAACGTTTTTTTTTATTTTTTTTAAATTCTTCAAACTAAATGATTTCAAATATTAGCTAAAAACGAGAAAAAATAGAGTTGACCTTGTCAATATGCCATAACAGACTATGGGACAGACTATGACGTTAAGTTGCCGTATAACCATACTAATTTGCGCAAAATTTCAGTACTGTGTTTTTTAAAATACTGTGTGTGCCAAACTACTATTGAAGTTGTATGGCAGCTACCAGATAGACCCAAGAAATTCTAATGAATTTTATCAAACACTACTGATATATTCGCTTGTGTGAAATTTCAATACCATAGCTTTTAGAGTTTCTGAGATATAGCCAAATAACATTTGAAGTTGTATGGAGCCAAGTAATTTCAACGTGTCTTTTCTGTCTTCCAAATTCATTAACTTCTTCTTTCTGTGTTGCACTGTTTTTATGTTTTCAGAAGAATATTCCATTTATTATCCTTTTCTAGAAGTATTTCCAAGATTTACTCTTGCATTTTGCATATATACTTCTACTGCCTACTACTTTTATTATAAAACATATTAGAGCAAATATGTGTAAATTTATGATATTTGGATGTAGAATCTTAAGCATTCAACACCTTGTATTTTCTCATTGAAATATTAAAAGAATTAAAGATTAACATAAGTCTGTTAATTGCACATTTAAATCTTATTCTAATACTCGTATTATAAAGTAAAAATATATAAAGCATTGGCAGGTCCCAATCTAGTTTATAAAAAAATTCTATATAAAATAATAATTCTGTCTACAATATTCGCGAAAACTTAATATGGTAAGACTCGAACTCCAAGGCGTGTTTTCACTGTACGGAGTATATTTTCAGATATTCAAATCTCTCTTTAAAATAAAAATAACGTTTAAAATTAATATTAAAAAATTTTATTAAAATTATAATAAAAACTTTCAATAACAGAAAAATTACCAAAAATTACCAAAAAAATAAATAAATTTTTTTTATTAAAGTATTGAAAATTATCTCTTTATTCTTTTTCTAAAATTTTTCATTTCCATAATTTTATTTCACCACAAAATATTTCATATATAACTTAACCATTTTTAAGAGATTTCCATTTTTATGAAACATATTTTTAGTGGGTGATAAAATGAAAAGAAAATAAAAGGACACTAAAAAATATATTTTTGATTTGAAAGAATTGTACAAAGAGTCGAACTAAAATTTATTTTATATACAACACTTTTTGTTATTTGAACAGAATTCTTCAATAATATTTTTAAATTAAAATTTTACTGACAGGCAACACTGTATTTGTTTGCCTGATAGTGATATTTTGCACTAAATCATTATTCTATTATTGGTTATCTTGATGGTATTCTTGAATTTTCAACTAGAAAATTTAATATAACGAGGCTATGCACACAAACTTCAAAAATATTATATACTACATACATATTTCTCTTTCTAGCAAGTGGAATTCGAAATTTGTAATATAGCCGTGGTTGTGTTTTCAAAAAGTTAGTATGGAGGAAACAGCATTTTTAAATATTTTCTTTATTAAAGTAACCATACCAATCATAAAATTTTAAAGATTTTTTTCTTTAACGGTGATGTACCATTTATGAAAATTTTCTGTATTTATTAAAAGTTAAATGTCCGAAAACAATAGTGTAATAAAGGATTTAAATATTCACTAGTTCACATAAATTTAGAATTTAATTTTAACTTCAAAAGGTTTTCCTTGAAACACGGAAAGTCCAAATTTTTTGATTTGCTTCCCTTTAATTCTTTATTATGTTAGATATAATGAATTCTTTTTCTGTTTTAAACCTTTTACATGGCAAATCTTTCGAATTATCTTTAATATTCACCATAAATTATATTGATTTTGGTTTACTTATTGTATGAAATTTACAAAAATAAAAACGGGGAATAAATTGCAAATCCTTTTAAATTTATGTTGCCATTCTGTAATGGTATTTAGCTCCTTTTCATTCTTAGCTGTTCTATAATATTTCACGAAAACGTTTCTTTCGTTCTATGTGCATATGTATGTATAATGTGTATATAAGATTTATATTTAAACCAAGGATTTTATGACATTATAGAAAACTAAGAAATCCTTCAATATCGAGAAGAGAAAAAAAATCTTTTATATGCACATTATTCTCATTTTTATTCACTGTGGAATAAATTTAATAGTGCAACAAATATGCGGTCGGTTTTTCTATGTTTTACACTCCTTCTTATTTTCATCTTATGCTATATTCATGTATCTTAACGTATATTGGTGTTATATTCATATAATATACATATACATATATGGTTTAATAGTTTTATATACATATATATACCCACAGCTTCCAATCTGAAAGAAAAATAATGCAGAATACAAAAAAAAATAAAGGAAACGCTTACATTTGTGAATAAAGTTATAAAATATGCTGATCTAAAGGGATTTTTCAAATGGATATTTTAGAAAATATTGAATTGCAATATGATTAGTCCTGGTTCTCTTTCATATATTATTTTTTCCATGTTTCCTTCTTTTTTCCTTTTTTTTAAGTTATTCGTAATCCCATATAGTTTTAACTGATTTAAAATGCAATTTGATTGTAAAATATTGCTGAACTTAGCTCTCGAACAAACTTAAATCCATAAAAATGAAACTAAGAAAAATGAAATATAAAAAGAAAGAACTAAAGCATCAAAATTTATAATATTTCAACTAAAATATTGTAAAAGTGTCAATATATATACTTTCATATTTTATATTTTATGCAGAATAGTAAAAGAGAAATAATTTTAAAGAAATTTCTATGATAATAAAAGAAATTTAATAATCTTTTTATTTCTAATAATTTTAACCAAAGAAATATTTATGTTTCATGCTATACATAGGTATATTCCCTCTATAAAGATTATAAATATTACATACACATACATTTTTTACTTTTTTTAATGAATATTTCTTTATCTTATTCTTTTTCAGGCACTTTTAATTAAGATGAACAATTTTATTTAAAATCAGGTAAGAGATAAGATTTTAAATTAAAATTAGATTTACAACTTCCCTGTTATTTACAATCGTTTTTTAAATTTAAAATTGCTTTTTTAATAATTTTATGCCACATAGAAAAACTTTAAATTAAATTCTCTTTCCATATGAATCTGCATCTGCGAAATTAATGTCGGCAACGATCTTAGAACAGTTATTAATTTTAGAGTTACAATTGTAGTAGGAATTGAAAAGGGAGTAGGTTGTGATTGGATTGAAAATTTTCTAGCCTAAATTTCCGTTGGCTACATAAAATTCAAAAAATTTTGTTGGTTAGACAAAATTTTTTATAAACTGCGAGTAGCCTAACTAAAAGGAATTTTAATAATATAAAAAAATTGAATTATTTTACTCGTCATATACCATTGCAAAGCATTAAAATAAAGTTTAAGAGTTTCGTTTCGTGAAATACTAAGATTGTAGGAAGCCATACAAATTTTAGCGAACGGAGACCAATTTTCGGACCGAAAAATGTTTAAAATATAATATTTTGTGGAAATAGATTTAAAACAGATTTAAAACAGAGATCAACTCTCATCTCATGAAAACAACATGTTCTCATCAAAATTTAAACAAATTTCAGATTTTTTAAAACAAAACGATTTGATGGATTTTTTAAAGGATAAATTGACTTGTTTAATTTTTCAATTCCGTTATAAGACATTAAAATATTATTACACTATCATTCAAAATTTATAATTTTATTTCTCTTTTTTCCTTTCTTGAATAATGAGGTAAGTCTCTATTATTTTATTAAAATCAAGATACTCGTAATCTATAAAAAGTGGTAACACCTTTTTTAGAAGACAAATCATAATTGAATGCAATTGAAAAATTATCATTCTTCTCTAACTCTCACTGTAATAGTAATTATCATTCTTCTCTAACTTATAGTAATAGTAATTTCAATATAAAATTTAATTTACTAAGTAATTCTAATCACTAAATTTAAATTATTTTACAATAAGTAAATCAAATTTATAATAAAATAAATTAAATGTAAATGTATGCGTATATGCGCTCATTTCTGGATTTTCGCGGTTTTAAAATTATAAGTAAATTAAGTTATAAATTTTAAAACCACGAAAAACAAGAAACAAGCGCATATTTTTCAACAATAATATACAAAACAATATACATATAAAATATTTATGCCACATTACTTTACATTTATTCTACATTTAAAGCAGAACATAGAATAATGAAAAACAACTACCCGCAATATAATTTTTTCATATTCTCGACATTATTGCGAATTCTTGCAATATACGTATGTATATACATATATGTACAAGAAACTTCTTATTATACAAAATTATATAAGACTTTTGAGTTCTAATCTAAAACTAAATCAATAATTTTATTTTAGATTTTTGTGTATTCAATTAATTTTAAATATTCTAATTATTGTAAAATTATTGTAGTGACCATTAAAACTAAAAATTAAATATGTTTAATACACAAAGAAAATTTTAACATAGAAATTTATTAGAGACTTAATTAAAGTTTTGGTAATAAATTCTAAGATATTCCTATATAATATAATAATAATGATTCATTTATCAAAACGGAATTCATTTAAATTAGTTCTAACTTTTAACCATCAGTATCATATAAAACTACTTACTCTTATCTACCCAAACGCTACAACTTATACAAAATAATAATCAAACGATCGAGAAAACTACGCAATGTTAATTGCTTATCTGTTGTTGTTTTTAAACATTACATGAATATTTTATTCGCGATTCTATTATGAAAAAATTTTAATTCTATTCAGTTTAAAATTGGTCTTTAATTAGATTACTTCTTACACAAAAAAATTTGTACAAAATAAATTTTATAACATTTTTAATTTAATAAATAATTATTTTAATATTGGATAAAATTAATTTATAACTAATTTTCTATACAATATGCATAAAATTCAATACATACGCTCTAATAATCATTATCAGTGAATTAGAAATTACGATAAATAAGAGTAATTAAATGAATAATAATAAAAAATTAAAGGTTATAATCACAATTATCAAAATGATTTATTAAAATTGAATGATTGAGAAAAATTATCGTATGTTTGTTTATTATTAAATAAAATTAAAGCTAAATTAGTAAAATAAAAAATTTTTTAAATAAAAAAGTTTTAGTTTTTATTTTATAATTTTAATTTCAATAATTGGTAAATAATTATTTTTATACGTTCAATTATAAAAAAAAGTGTGAATTACAAACAAACAAAAAAATAAAATTAATATACGAAGCAGATAAAGGCGAGCTTTCACAATCAGTAAGAGATAACAGTCTGAGTCAGTAAACAAAAAATTTTAATGAATAATCAACTGTTTACAAATGAAAATAAAACAAGTAAAAACGTTTCAGTCGGTATAAACCGATTGAATAATACCCTGCACCTTTCGTTATTGTGTAGCAATTACTCGAACCTGTGAAGTCATTCTATAGAAACTTCACGGATATGTCTGACCTATAATTGGACATCCGACTGCCAAGTTTCATGAATCTGACTTTATAATTTTTCCAAATATTTAAAATTAGCTTTTGGAGTTGTATGGCAAGTACCTGAACCTGTCAAACAATTCCATCAAAACTTCACAAATATATCTGATCTACAATCGGACACACAACTGCCAAGTATCATGAACCTGACTTTATTATTTTTCCAAATATTTAAAATATGCTTTTGGAATTGTTTGGCAAGTCCCCGAACCTGTCAAGCAATTCCACTAAAACTTCACAAATATATATGATCTGTAATCGGACACACAACTGCCAAGTTTCATGGATCTGACTTTATTATTTTTCCAAATATTAAGAATAAGCTTTAAGACTTGTATGGGAGCTACTCGAACCTGTCAAGCAATCCCATTAAAACTTTAGAAATATGTCTGACCTATAATTGGACACACAACTGCCAAGTTTCATCAATCTGACTTTATTATTTTTCCAAATATTTAAAATTAGCTTCTGGAGTTGTATGGCAGGTACCCGAACCTGTCAAGCAATTCCTCTAAAACTTCACAAATATATCTGATCTATAATCGGACATCCAACTGCCAAGTTTCATGAATCTGACTTTATTATTTTTCCAAATATTTAAAATTAGCTTCTGGAGTTGTATGGCAGGTACCCGAACCTGTAAAGCAATTCCTCTAAAACTTCAGAAGTATATTTGACCTATAATTGGACACATGACTGCCAAGTTTCATGAATCTGACTTTATTATTTTGCCGAATATAAAAAATTTGCTGTTGGAGTTGTATGGCAGCCACCCGAACCGGTGCAGCTATCCCATTATAATTTTTAGAGCATGTGTAGAATATAATTGGACACATGTATACAAAGTTTTATATTTATAGCTTTATTAGGTTTTGAAATATTTAAAATAAACTCTTTGAGTTGTATGGCAGCTACCCGAACCCGTTGTCCGAATTAGTCCAATAACAATAGGGCTCGTCCTTGGCACAAAAGAAAAAACTTGTGAAAGTTTGGTGTCGATTGCATTATTCGTTTTTGAGTTATCGTGCGAACGGACGGACGGACGGACGGACGGACGGACGGACGGACGGACGGACGGACAGACGGACATGTCTAAATCGACGCAGAATTTTACGCTGAGCAAGAATATATATATATGTCCATACCGCAGATGACTCCTTCAAGTAGTTACAAACTCCATACCAAAGTTAATATACCCTTCACGAAGTGCAGGGTATAAATATGTGTAATTAAGAAGAATATTTTAATTTTTTATTTTGTTAACTGAAATAGCTTTATTTAATAAATTTAAAAATAATCTTTATCATCTTAAAAACTTAGTTTAAGTGCAAATAATTCATTTTAATTAGAAACTGAAAATATTATTTTGTACTTCTGGCAAAATGTATATTTATTTTTAATATTTCTTGTCAATTGCTTCCATCATCAATTTTATTGGAAATAATGAAATTTACATACTGTAATGAAATTAAGTTATATGGAAAATTAGACAAAAGAGGAAGCACTTATTTAAATCTCATGCATTAATTCGTAGAAAATATTTAAAACTGAATTTTTCCAGTTAACGTATTTTTTAAAATCAATTTTAATCAATTTTAAAAAATGAAACGAAATTAAATGGAAAGCTAATGAAAACCATGATAAGAGCTTGTTATGTGAGGTATTTTATTTTTCCATATTTTATACGAATTATTGTTCAAATGAAGCGATCGCGAAAAAAATATGCGCTCAGATTGCATACACTAATTTATATAATTTTATTTTGTTTTATTTTATTTTTTACATGCTTAGCTCAAATATTTTAGAATATAATATACATAATATCAATTTACATATTTTGACTTACAGAAAACTAAAATCTATATTAAATCAAAATAGAAAATTAAAACAGCATAAAAAATTACAGATATTCTAAAATTACAATACATGTATTGTTATTAATTTAGTTTGAATCGTCTAGAAAACGGATAAATTATCTATATAAGAAAATAGTGTTTTTTTATAGTGACCTTTGTTAAAGTTAAATCAAGTATGTTCGTGAACTTGTTACACAGGTTCAACATTCTACTGACAGGTTTTTTTGTCCCATAATTACTTCTATGACATGGAATTGATGACGATCTTATTAAAATTATCGGGAGAGATCAAATCAGATTTCATAAACTGAAAAATGAATATCACGTCAACGACATATTGTCTTTTACTTAATGTGGGTAGGTCAATCAATTTGAGCCTGCCCCCGTAAGGAGGAACAAAAATAGGATCCCCCAAAGGAAGGTGACGAAACGCAAACCGCAAAAATTTCTTCTGAACCGACTCAATCCTATTAATATGAATATTGTAAAAAGGTGACCAAACTTGTTAGGCATATTCAAGATGGGGACGAACCAGAGACAAACATAGGGGCTTTAAAATATAGGGGTCATTTAACTCCATTGATCAGCGTTTAATAAATC